ATTGTGAAAAATTTTCCTAGATACGAAACTTTTCCATTATGTTTTCCATTTCCTAATAGAACCTATCTAAAAAACAAGAAAATGATGAATTGTTATTTTATAAGCTGAGGTACTCTAAAAATAAATTTTGTAAAAGTTTCAATATTCGCAAAATAAAATAGTGCATTAAGAAAAACAACTTTTTATTTCCACAAAACAAACTCCTTAGTCTATTTTATTAAATATTAATTTGAACCACTTTAACTATAGATAAATAATCTGTACGTATACTTAATAACAGTACTTAATAGATATAAAAATATTTCTCATAATATAAAACTAAATAAATTAAATTACTACTAAACATTATTCACATTTCCGTAGTTTTTCTTATGCTCACCAAAACACATGAACAAATTTCTTTTAAAATCCTTACAAGCAATCACTAAAATAATAAAATTCAAGACGCCACAGTACACACGAAATATGTTCAATGAATATTGATAATATAACACGTTAACGAAAATTTCATCCCACAATATTAGTGAAAAAGCTACCACATTCACTGTGGATAAAATTTGTACATAAGTTACCGGGTATGATATTTTTACATAACACCTTCTTACAGCAATAACAGTATAAACAATAATTAAATAAACGTTTAACAGCGGCGTTCCTAATAGCAAGATAACAAAACTGAGCAAAAGGGGGATGTACAGTCTAAATTTACAAATTCCATAGAACTGTCCACTTATAAACAAAAAGCATATCCAAATGACAGCCACTAAATGTGATAAATATTTTTCAAAAAAATTTGATAACCGATACCACGAAAAGGCATACGCAGTCCATTCTAAAGTGAGCATGGTGACAAAAACAAGCGAAACCATTTGAAAATTAACTGCTGTGTCGAAAGGTATACAGTGCCACAAACTATCAGAGGGTAAGTACTTCCCTGTGGTTAACATGTACCCTTCAGTAATGATTATGTCGAATGTTAAATACCCTATGTCTGCTATTGCCCAGTTGGCTATAAAAACATTTGAAACAATTCTCATTTCTTTGAAACATAACATGACAATTGCAATTGCAATATTAGCCACAATCGACGAAGATGACCCTATTATATTTATAATAAAAACATTTCTTTCCCATTCTAATAATAATCCCGAGTCAGTGATATTTGTAATCATTTTCTCCATTTTCCCGTGAACTTCACCAACGTCCCCTTTTCATCTATTTACTTAATCATCCATAATATTTTCGTTTATTTTACGATGGTGAATAATCCTTATATATTTTAATCTGCAACACTACAATTTGTGTAGTTTTAAGACGAAATGAATCGTGCACTTTTATTTACCTTTTGAAGAGGGAGATAATCACCGGTGCAAATACACAAAAAAAATAAAATTTAAACCAGATTAGACAAAATAAAGTAACTTCTTTCAACTCGCATCACCAACGTGTTTCTAAGAAGACAATTCGCGGTTTAGATCTGAAGTAATATTTACCAGGTCCGGATTACAATTGTTTTTGCATAAATGCACCATTGTTTATGTCATAAAAAAAACAAGGGTCTAAAATTAAAAGGGCTGGGTGCAAAATGCCACAATTTTCAATAAACCGAAAATTAAAAGGGCTTTGAAATGATTCAGAGTTTCTTCCTTAAGTAAGTACATTAATATATGTAACAAGGCTTTTTAGTAACAATGTTAGGTCTTAGAGCATACACTCTTAGCAAGAGATACAAAGCTGTACTAAATTTGATATTATTTATATTTAATATGTGTGGGAGGCTTGGCAATTTTACTAGAAGTCGGGGTGAATTAGTAATATGCAATGTCATTCCTCATTTATAAAGTTTCGTATAAATTTAACATTTTAGTTTTTGGTAGTGATACACAGTGATTTAATGAAATTTTCAATGATGCAGTGTTTTAATGTTAACCAGTGTTAAGAATTATATCTACTTTTATTACAATTTATTAAAAACAATGTTTCACTGTGAATATAATTAATGACATTAATTATAACAACAATATATGCTTATCAATTTATAAAATTGACTACCCAAAGCATTTCCCTTAATAAAGCTCAATTATTTAAGGGTGTAATAGTGAAGTAATTGAATTGTTCAATTTTTCGAACGTTTTCGATATTAAATTGTTTTGCTAGTAAATATATTTCGTCGTCTTCCTTGGCCATTTCTCAAATTAGATTAATATCTTAACATTTTGTGTCGAAATGTGGAAACAGCAAGTTGCCGTCATCTTTAATTAGATTATCCCTTTGCTGAAGCAGCTGCGTCAAAATAGCTTCCCTTCTAGCCCGTCTCGAGTAGACTGTAGTCGCAACATGTACAGGGTGAATCACAACATAGCCATTATTTAACTCAAGTTAATTATTGTAATACTTTTTCAGCTTTTCACGCCATAAAACATTTAAAACAGGATTTAAATGATAGAAGATACTAATGCGACGCTACGCCAAAAAAATATTATAATAGTTTAAAAGTAACTTGATACAACTCTGGATGATAATTTTCTTTTCTCCACGTCGCAGTGCACATTTAACAAATTATGCGAATGCTGCTTCCTGACAAAGAATGAATAGAACCATCTTCGCATATTATTACATAATTGCATGTACGAGAAAATGCCCTCACACTATACCGATAATAAAACTTAATTTAATAACAAATGACTTTAATTGCATTAGATGGAATTTTCGTACCTACTGCGTTGTCTACTTGCATATGTTTGCAAATACCAAATGATATGTAGGAGTTTACGTAGGAATCTCATCTATCAAAATTAATTGTTATTTTCATCATTATTTATAAACCAGCAGAATAATGGTACCCACAACCATAAAGTTCTGGTTTCTAACCAGGAATTGTTTGATATGAAATATGAAAACAGCCAACTGAAAGTAATTTTAAATGGTAAGATCTATATAATATTTACTTCCTAGCATAAGACATTTTTAAGGCATAACACTAATAAACTTTTAGGAATTTGTTTACTAATTACTCTGACAAACATTGGCTACATCGGATTCAACCCAAAATTTAAATTCTTTTTTTTTATTAACGTGTTTAATTATTTAACACATTGATATATGTGAATGCCTACAATTAATTACGTAAAGAAAACGGCTTAATTAGAAACTCCTAATTATATCTAATAATAATTTCAAATTAATTATAATTCTTCTTTCTTATTCAAACCTTATTACATAGTACAGTGGAATTCGTTTATTATGACTCCGCCTATATTGACCAACCGCTCAATATGAAGTAAGTGTTAAGTTTGGTTTTTATATTAAATTCTCTATAGGAAAGTTTGGATATAATGACTCCATTTAAAATGACACATCATTTATTATGACTGATTCTCAAGAAATCATATCCGGCTATAGTGACCCAAATGATTAATAATAACATTTTCACTCATGTTTCTGACCCTTCTTATGTATATTGATATTACAATTCATCGTTCTTTTTCTTTTTCTGTTAATAAATATACACAATTTGTAGTTTTTCTCTATTAAACTAAATAACTAACCAAAATAGAAAGTTGTTTATTTTCTAACACTGTGCTTCGTATGACACTCGCTTAGTATGACGCGTTTATCATTTTCCTTCGATGTCATTATAAGCGGATTCTACTGTAGTTTTATTCTCGGTCTTATCTTTAGTCTTAAGTTTTGGCTTCATTACTAGAATTATGGCCTGTTATGATACAACCAAGTCTCTTTACCTTATAAAGTTTATCTTGTCTTCTTCCTGTATATATTTTGTTTTCCACCTAAACTATTCAAATTTCGAAAGAAAACGTCGTATATCATGACTTTAAAATAAAAAGCAAATACTCATAGGGAAATTTGCATCGTCACGCAGAAAATGTATGACGAAAAACACACAAAAACGTGCTTAGCAGTGAATATCCAGTAAGACAAAAACAGCGCAGTTTCGTGTTATGACTGTTTACAGAAAATTCCATTTCACATTCAACGTTCCATTGGTAAATAGAACTTAACTAATAGACCCCTAAATATCTCCAACTGTTTGCACATTCAGACTACCCTTTGTATGGGTAACGTATAATTTTTGTAAATAAAATAAGCATTTTATGAGTACTTTTCAATCGATACTGATTGGAAACGATCTTTTGAAAATTCACGTTTCATCTACATTACGGTTCTGTTTACATCCTGAATGTAGGAAATTGACGGAAAAAACGCTTGTAATAACTGCTTTCCAATTATTTCTACGGAAAAGTGTAATCTTGGTACATTTCCTACGGATATAGCCGATTTTCTATCTTCAGACAAGTGCGATATTTTTATATCTAGTGCCTCTTAGTACTGTAAC